AAGATTTTTATACGTAATTTAAATGGCTTCAAAGGGTGAGTAAGATGGAAGAAAAACTTTTTTCATGAAAGAAATGACAAAAAATGAAAGTAAGTTTCACATTTAATTAAAAATTTTAGACTCAGAGATCATTTTAAAGTTATATTATTATGCATGTTTAAATGCACATTAATGTCTGTTACAACATACAGTAGACGAAAATGTAAAATTTTGTTACATTTATGTAAAAAAACAGCTGACTGAAAAAGCAGAAAAATATTTGTCTACCATCTTAATCACCCTTTGAAACCATTTGAGTTACGTATAAAAATTTTCCCGTACCACCATAGCTAGAGAAGGCAATTAAGTGGCCCGTTTTACGTAGCCTACTCTATATATTGCAACGTAAATTGTGATAAATAAAAGTGCATAATAAAATTACTGATATTTCGTAAATGTACATTTAATATGTATGTAATACATGTATACATTCGACATAGTTTTAACATATTGTCTTTAAATTTGGATACGTTGTAGTTTTATAAATATCCGCAGTTTAACGATGTCTATTAGTACTATTTGTGCTTCATTTTAGTTGCGATTGAATTTTTCACAATAAATAATACACTCAAGGCAATAGTGAGCATGTTCAGTTTCGGGTGAATGTTAGCAAAATTATAGGGAAGGTGCGTCGCTGATCGAGATTCCTAAATCTGATTCACAACCTACCTCTAGACTTCTTCTGATGAGGCTTTTCAAACGAAGGTTTTACCCAGAAGCACTTACCACACCGGATGATATAAGAGCCTCGATCCCAAATACCTAACAAGGAATTATTAGGGCTAGTTTTGGAGAAACTGTCGTTCAAAGGCAGAATCAACTGATGCATTGGTGCCCAAAGTCTTCTGAATAACCGTAAATGGTTTTAAAAATGAGATGAAAAGTTGGCTAGCGGAAGGAATGCGGGTCTAATTGTAGTGTAAAGGCCCATTTCTTTTTACACAACCATAAAGATAGAGCACATGTATGTTTGTCATTACAAATCAGATCATATAGCACCGCGTGACGAACGGACCGAACGGGACATATCGAGACCAAGTGGGATAGAGCGACAGTGAGTGATTCGATAAACTACAAAGCAATAGCGTATTCGCGGTAGATTTCGATGCGTATCATCTGTGGATACTATTGTGGATACTATTGGAGTTTGCCCGCAGGGCGGCACAGGGGCAAGAGGGATACTTCGTTCGCACCGTCTAAATCAGAGCTGCTTAACTTCTTGCTCACGAGCAAACTTCCCCTCCCGAGGTGTCCCCACTATGCGGTACGAACACGCAGAATGTGTAACATAAACCAACGGCAGTCGCTGGAGTGGTGGTGGGAGGAGCACGCGAGGAGTCCTCGACGCAACTCGAGCGAGACTATCTCAGTCGCATAGTGGGGGAACCTTGGGAGGGGAAATTTGCTTGTGAACAAGAAGTTAAGCAACTCTGCCATAGAACAGACTCGGGCAACTTCTTCCCCGCTGTTGCTACCAGTGTTCCGGTTCCCCCACTATCAATATGCGTGAGGTGAGGATACAGCCTCCTACATCAGAGGCGCTTAACTTGTTGCTCACGAGCAAATTTCCCCTCCCTAGTGGGGGAACCTCGGGAGGGGAAATTTGCTCGTGAGCAAGAAGTTAAGCAGCTCTGGTCTAAATCTCACGTCACACAATTTTAAATGATCTGTGGCGGTTAAGGTGATGTAGGAGGATAGAGATAGAGACTATAGGCGGAAAAGGAAGGTTTGTGCGTTTCGTTTTGGGTCTCCTAGTGGACTCGTCAGGGAGGCTACCTACATAGAAGATCCGTGTCTTAGACGCGGGTCAGAAGTTGTATATACAGGGTGTTTCATAAGTGCCTGTTAATACTTGAGGGAGTAAATCTACACATTAAACAAGTAAAAAATGTCACATGGACATATGTCCAATATACCTTAGTTTTCGAGTTATGGATGAAATGGATTTCCGCACTTGCTGGAAAATACCAGGTATTCTTCGAATAGTCTGAAATCCATTTTGTATCCTTTCTTGTCGATCTTGCACATTATTCACTTGCGTTGTATACATAATTTTTAGAACACTAATGAACTCACGAGAATAAAGCACTGACTGCCCGAAGTTTTATCTGCTTCATATCAATGGATATTATTCATAAACATTAGATAAGGTCAAGACATACTAAGGCGCGCAGTAGCGACATGGAGGGACATGGAACATTTTCTTTAATCATTCCTATCTCGAAAACCAAGGTGTATTGGACATATGTCCACATGATATTTTTTACTTGTTTAGTATGTAGATTTACCCACTGAAGTATTGACATGCATTTACGAAATGCCCTGTATATAATACAAACGGGAGCCTTTAGTGAGGACTAGCGAGAATTGGTCGCTAGTCCGTCCCTCTGGTGGTGGAGCGTAGGAGGTACGCCACAGATCCAATTCGACGATTTTACCGCGTTGGCCAGTAATGACAATACACTTGCCTTATTTTTATGATTGAGTTAGAGAAGGTGAACTTGTAGGGATATGACCCAATCAGATCCTCATTCCTTCCAGGGGCAAACTTCTGATCTCTACACAGTACTATGTCAGCGTACGGCGCGAATAACCTAAAGGCGGAGACTTCGGAAGGAGCACTGATGAGATCAGGAGGGGCAAGCAGAGCCCCTCTTGCCCTTGCACCGTCCCATTAGCCATCTTCTCATCTTTGTACAGTACTAAGTCAATGAACTCGTTTCGAACCAGGCTGCATAGCTAGCAGAAAAAAAAACTATATGGTTTCATTTAAGAAACGAAGCTCCAGCTTCAGCTTGAAATTGCAGAAGCACCTCCACCATGGAAAACACTATAATTATCATGAAATGTCCTACTTGTAACAAAGTTTTATCTAAAGTATTTCCTCCAATAGCGAATAGCTTGAGAGATACATAATTGCATGGAAGTAGGTATTATATGTACAAATAAAAATTTATGCAAAACCATTTGTGGTTCTTGCAAAGGCGAGTGACATGAAATTTAATCATTTAATAAAATTACAGTGTATCTGTTACAGGTCCTCCCTTATTTTTCATTTACAAAGCAATCATCCATATAAATTGATCCACTATAATATGTTGAATAATGTTAAAATTTCATGACATTTGTGTATTTAATTTCAAGTGTTTCTAAGGGTGTGCGTTGGAACGAAATATTTTACAAGGTGCCATCATTTTTCGACTTCCATTTCAACTTTTAGATTCATCCCAGTAAATTTGATTAAAATTTCCTTATAACGAAAACGTTAAATAGAAACTGATACACATTATTAAAAAAGAAAATCTTATACACTTAATATCGTAAAGTAAGATTCGTTAAAATTATATATTCATTTAGCCTTCAAATTGAAACACGGATGATGATATAAACGCTATAAATTATCGGTACTACTTTGGTATATACATATAATATTACTGATCATTAAACGTACGAGGAAAATGTCATGGCTGCTACTCCAAATGATCAGTAGTCGTTCGAAAACTGTCATTGTGCAAGAGGATAAATGCTGTTGTTTCAAAATGGATGTTGCCTGTGTGTCCCCTTCTGTGCACATTGACGATGTTTCGTGAAATCCCTTTGATTCGCTTTCTATGCTGTCATCTGCTTTCATGTTCCATTAATATGTAATAGCTCGTTCAAATGCAGTCAAACAAACACACAATACTTTACGTTCATTATAAAAGTGTCAATCGATGGCTAACATTTCTAATGTTTCACTATAAGTTACCGCGGTTGAATTCGATTTCTCGATAAAAATTTCCCGGATCTGCAATCTTTCGTCTAAGATCTTCGAAAGGGATTGTATTCGTAGCAAAAAATATAGCTTCTTCTAACGCGTGTTAACATGTATACATTTTGATACGTCAAGTTGTGTGAAAAAATCCCTCGAAGGTTGTTTGCACCTACTGGATAAAACCATATCAGCTGACGATCCAGGTGGGTAAGTGCTTGTGAATGGAACTTAGACAAATAACTATATTTCTAAGAATTATTTTCTGTTAGAGATTTAGTTCACATTATAGCAGCGAGTCATAGTTCTCTGTTAAGCGCATAGATTCCACATTTGAAAAAAATAAAAAACAGTATGGTGTGCTTGGCTATTTGTACAGTAACCTTTTTTTATGCCGATTAAACTTCAGTCTTATTGGTAGATAAGCATGCTGACAGTGCTTTGATATCATCAATATTAGGGATTCATTGTTCAATGAACGAGTATTTAGGAAATGTTGTAGAAGTTCGCTTTCCTACTTTATTAGTATTCTAAAAATGCATCGAAGATACGCATGTCACAAGATACAACGAAGAAAAAAAATAGAAGCGCAAAAAAGAATGTGTGGGAATGGAAATGGTGTTAGAATTTCATGCTTGCTATTACAAATTTTACTTTTCTAGATTCTTTCCTAAACATAAACACAGCCGCCTTAACAAATATTATTCTTTGAGCGTATCTGCGACGCGTACTAAAAAGTAACTCCCACGCTTACAATGAATTTTGATACGTAGTTGCATTTTCTTGCATATTCAGTGTATCGGGGATCAGTTTTCGTTCATGTTCTCTTTGTTTGTTTCTCTTCTGTTCTTTTATCAAACATACCTCACTTGAATAAAAACCATACATCTTACTTTTTGGCGGATTTTACTTTTACAACTATTTACGATTACATACTTATTAGATTGTACTCAGACATAAAAGCAATGTATTTTCAAATGGTATACGAAACTGTATAGATGCTATTCGACCCGGATAAAACCGATCAAATACAATAAGTTCTGCGCTACATTTTGTTTCGCTACAATTCCTTAGTTTACAATTTGTTCAAAAACAGTTTCTACTTTTGCAGTTGCTTTCTGACCATTGACCCTCCCAAATTAAATACTCCTTTTCGAACGACCGTTCGTCAAAGGCAATACATGGAACAAAATGTTTCGACAATTTGTAGGTCCACGAGGCAGACGCGTGTTTAGTACTAGCAAACAAGTACTGTCAGGATCCAGACGCGGAAGACGCGGCAAACATCATGCGTGTCATCTCTATCAAGAATTATTCCGATGACATTCGCGTTATCATTCAGTTAATGCAATATCACAACAAGGTATTTATTTTTACGAATAATTTCAATAATTCTTAATTTATATCTCTATTCTAAGTATTATGTTTCCATTCGAAATTTTGGTATACAGAATGCCCTATCTAACTCTGCCGCTCTTAATTATTTTGTCATTTGTAAAAATACAAAAAAAAAAGAATACTTCAGAAAGAAATTATTGCATTTCAGAGGGAAAATTAGTCTATGGGGGGAGGGAGTCATCTAAGTGTCGTATCTTGCGAGATTTTACTAATAGTGATATTTTTTGTTTACTTTGTATCGTGTATTACAACATGACATGGAAATGATCTTGAACTGAAAATTTCACAAATAAATGATTGAGGTGGAATCAATTGTGTTAACAAAATAAACACTTCTATCACATGATTTATTGTTTTAATGTGTACTCAAAATGTCCTCCACCAAACTAAATACACTTGTTTAAGCGTAAAATAAACATCCATCTAGCTCTCTGTACTGTATCCGAAGAAATGCTTGCACACGCATTGGAAACATGGCCTTCCATGTTTTCAGCTATTGCCGGAACCTCTCTGTACACAATATCTTTGATCATGCCACGCAGAAAAAGGCCGAGATGTGTCAGATCAGGAGAGTGAGCAGGCCAGCAAACTTTCATTCCGCGACCGATCCATTTTTCAGGAAATTTTTAATTTAATACACAGAGCATTTCTTGCGCAAAATCTGCAGGTCGTCCGTCATGTTGAAACCACAATTTTAGATAATCTTCTAATGAAATATCCTCTATCATTTCTGGTAACGTATCAGTTAACTTGTAAACTTTTCAGTTTAAGATCATTTCAATGTCATGTTGTGATACACGGCTGAATGTAATGGTAAACAGAAAAATAGGTCATTCCATTTAAAAAAATATTACTATTAGTAAAGTTCTAGGAATTGAGATGATCTTCATAGTCGAATTTTTCCTCTGAAATATAACAACTTCCTTCTGAAGTATTTTTTTAAATCTTTACAAATAACAAAATAATTAAGGGTAGCAGAGTTAGGTGGAATACTCTGTATAAATAATTCGATCACTATAGTACGGCTCACGATATAGCGAGGTCGTAAATTAAACCGTCGAACTGCGGCACCGATTGATGTCGCCGCAACTGAGGGCTGTATAGTCGGTGGAAGAAATATAGCTAGGTCGTAAATTAAAGCATTAAGTAGCGCCACCAATTGATGCAGTAACACTCAATCAAAGTTAATCAAAAGTGAATCAAAGTTAAGGTATATTTCATGCTACCCTAACTAAGGTTTTGAGTCTTTATCCTCTTAGGTTCACTGTCGATTCAGTTATCCATATACTTGAACGTGTAAACATTGTCGTCTGACCTCGCTATATTTCTTCCATTGACTATACCTTTTTTTTTTTT